TTTATCTTTATTTTCAATTTCTAAAATAACAGTCCTAACATTTACCACGAAGATATTAAGTCATACAAGAAGAATATCAAACCTACAATAACCTAACCAACAAAACAGTTCTTAACTATTCTTGGTTATAATGTAACTAATAAAATATGCCCGAAACGCTTTGCGTAATAGTGGCTTTAGGCATTGTATGTACTAGCTCTACCTATAAGTCAACCAATCCTTGTAAAAATTTATCGTATGTATGTACCTTACCTAAATAAAATTGTATTGTATTGTATAAATAATTAGTACAGTACATAATGCCAATGGCTGAATTAAGAATATTTACAAGCAGTGCTCTGGCGGCCTAAGACTAAGGTGCTGGAGGTGAAGGTCAAAAGAGCAGCAACTATTGCAAAAATGCAGAGTTAAATAATTAAGAGCATCTGCAATTACTGCATATTGATTGCTATGATTTTAATACAACAGTATGATTTGAGGGTATCAAGTAAAATGTTTCTTAAATATACATGATGGTTCTGTAGGTATATAAAATGAGGGAACTAATTGGTGAATAGTGCTAGAATAATGAACAACTCCTACTGGTCTATTTTGTTCTTTTTTTCTTGTTGCATCTTGGCAGGAAAAGTGCTTCTCTCTTATCAGATGGTTTTCTTTGCGCAAGGAAAGAGGCAGTTAGGTGTAATGCTGTTTAAGGAGAGCTCTGTTGGCCCCTCACTTAATATAAAACCCTCTGTTTGACTCTATATTTCTTATGGACACAAATAGGGTAGCAAATGTTAACTAATTTCGCTTCTACAGCCCAGTACAAAGAACAAGCACTCAAGTAACCCCAGTGAGAAGTGGATATTACATTTGTTTCACTTTTAAACATTTCTTAGCTTAAACAGAATTTAATAAAACTTAATAAAGATACATGAGAAAATACATACAGGCAGTGCATTGTAACTCCCTCTGGAATACTAGGCAAGAACATTAGGTAGCTTCCTACTTACAAAAAAAAAAATACTTTCTTGTTGAAGTACAAAGGCATAGACTTCTACTCTGTTAGTCTGATATCCTCCAGGCATCAATAATTGGGATTATACATCACTCTCATAATGATCCAGGCAGTATCCCCAGTTCTAGCATGCAACAACCTCACAATAGTTTTATACTATTACCAAATTTTCTACACATCACCTCAACAATGAACCATGATCTTTTGCTGGCACCTTGTCTATGACCTCGGGTAACTTAATACTGTGTGAAACGCTGACAGGTCTCGCTTTTGTGGTCAAAATGTGAATACTTGTACTTTAAAGATGCAAACATCAATCACTCCAATCAAGTATTGTCTGTGCTACTCACACAAAATCCATCTTTCATACCATATGTGCAACTATTGTCATCAGATCACAAAGATGAGCCTATAATTGTTCTGGACTATTAACAAATACAGTAAGTTATTTCAAAATTAACAGCATTTCACACATTAATAAGTTAACATAGATCGCCATTTGTGTCACTCTCCTTAGGTTGTGTTCATGGTTCACAATAACCATAAGGGCCAACTACACCGTGTTCAGTGCCCCAGGAGGCAGTACTATGGCAATGATAGACTTTACAAACTTAACTGTAACACCAACATAAGCTAAGTGAAAGTCATTTATTAATGATGCTCCACATTAGTTACTGTCTGCCACCTGAAGCAAAGTTCATTACAAACCAGTAGTGAAAAATGTCAATCTGAGGACAATTATCTAACCTTGATGTAATTAGGAAGGAATTTCAATGCCATTTTGTCATTATTATATACAACAGCTTCTATTCATATAAAATACCACTGCTTATCATTTCATCAAAAGTAACATTTATGTAAATAATAATATAACATGATAATACTAATGGACTGACAGTTGGGTAAATATTAACTAAAAATAAAACTAACTTGATTCTATGCAATAAATGCAAAGGACCAAACTCTGTACCTTTTATGAACCCCCTCTTAACACAATATGCATTATTTCTTCTATTAATTCTCTCATGGTTAAGTTTCTCTCACCTATTTCATATATTAAACTATCAAAAGAAAATGGAAATGTCTAAAACAATAAATTCCACTAATGGTCATTTTCAATAAATGGATCACTTTCAAAATGTAAGTGCTTTCGAAGAGTATCTATGTTTATTTAGTTTTCCATAAAGATTTTCCATAAAATAATAATGATCCAAAACAAAATCAAACTGTGTTTCTCAGCATTCCTATTGATGAACAATAATCCAACTTCTGAGAGTAAAATTAAACAATATTCTGCCACATAAAGGTGTTGGATGTTTACAATTGTAGCAAATCATGCTTGGCATCAATAAATCATAAGATATTGCCATTTAAAAAGGTTTAATAATTTGTAGTATTTGACAAGATTATAATTTGAGTAATGCAAATGTGACATGCATGGGAAAAAATGAACCCACATGAGAGTAACCAAGACAGATCAACTAAACATCTTACCACTACCTTGAAGATTTACTCCTAGTTGAAAAGAATCAGCATGTGAAGACAATTCACACCGGTGAGTTGGAATGACATAATAACAATACAGTATTCTTGTCATTACATGAAATCAAATTTAAGGATGGCCTGCTTGGGGACTAGAACTCTCGGAACCGACTTCAGGTAAACCAACAAATCTGTTTTTATAAAGTAATCTGTTCCTTATTATAAACTAATTTAATTATTGACCCTTCTGATTCCAGGGACAATAAGTACTCTCATAAAACATACTCACTGTGACCTTCAAAAAAAAAAAATCTGATTTCCTTCTAGTATCATAACTTATACTGTACAGCTTCACCACCGTCTCAAGATGTTCCCCTTACAAGAGCTTCAAAGAATTTACATTCTGTTAAAGAACATTAAATTGGAAAGTGCTGGAGTTTGTATATTTAGATTTTCAGTCATAAAACAGCATTCCAAAATTTTGGGTTAAACAAAAAATAATAATACAAATAGACATTTATGTCAATTTACATCTCAAAATATATTTAGTCTTTTAATAATGTAGTATCAATTAGCAAATATAAACATTTAAAATGAAACTGTGAAAGTACTGTAATAATAAATAAATAAACATTAGGGCTATCAAATGCATTCCTGTGATAAAAAAACATACATAAATATATATTTTATATATACAGTATACAGTGTGTGTATATATATATATATATACATACTGTATATTATATATGTGTAAAAACCACGTGAAAACAGAGAATGCTAATCGCATTTTTGGCTCAATTCGTCTTCATCAAAGTAAAATAGAATGAAGAAAGAAATGTGATAGGCAGACCTTATATCTGTCAGAGCAGGTCACCTGACCACCAAGAAAGGAACATGAGAAAGAAGGTAACTATAGAAGGCCTATTGGCCCATATGAGGCCACTCCTATTTATATCCTAATAACTGTACAACACAAAAACACTGGATAATATATATACAGTATATAGAAGTGCAGCTGGAAGAAAATAAGTAAATAAATAAAAAAAAGTTTAATTGGATGCTATATTATATTGACGTTCTATATTGAAGCTTTAATGGGTATCTAATTTGTACATGCCAGGGCTTACATTAAGGCTGTTATTACATTGTTTGATTAGAGCGGACTCAATCACATTTCGTTCAACGAAACCCTTAGTTTTAGCAATACATTTTCATAAACTGGTATGTAAATACAAAGCACTGGAGTGCTGGGCTGTACGAATAGCATATGAATGTTGTTATAAACGTGAGGAAAGAGATTTACCAGTCTGGCCGATGTCTCTAAATCTCTTTCCTCATGATTAAAACAACATTCATAAGCTATTCGTACAGCCCAGCACTCCAGTGCATTATATTTACATTCCAGTTTATGTGATCATTCTATTGACTTCAGAGGGGCAAAATGTATTGTTAAAAGTAAGGGTTTCGTTGAATGAAGTGTGATTGAGTCCACTCTAATCAAACAATGTAATAATAGCCTTAACCACTGCACTGCATCAAACGACAAATGCTGTTTTGAGAGTAGTCCGTTTTTTTTAACTAGGCTATATTTTTGTGTGTTTTAATGTTTCCATCACTCTGTTTTGAAATGAAGTAAGTTGAGTTTGGAAATATTTTGACATTAACTTTATCTGAACATTTATAAAATCAACAAAACTATGTCTTTAACAATTGCACTATGAAGTTTTTGCCAAAAACAGGTGCGCAGTGCAGGGGTTAATGTAAGCCCTGGCATGCACAAATTAGATACCCATATAAGCTTCAATATAGCATGTCAATACAATATAGCATCCATTTAAACTGTTTTTATATATTTACTTATTTTTTTCCAGCTGCAATTATATATATATATATATATATATATATATATATATATATATATATATATATATATATATATATATATATATATATATACAGTATATATATATATATATATATATATTATTCAGTGTTCTTGTTGTGTACAGTTATTAGGATATAAATAGGAGTTAACTCGTATGTGCCAACAGACCTTCTACAGTTACCTTCTTTCTCTTGTTCCTTTCTTGTTGGTCAGGTGACCTGCCCTGACAGGTATAAAGTCTGCCTACCACATTTCCTTCTTCACTTTATTTTGCGCTGATAAAGGCGAATTGAGCCAAAAATGCGTTTAGCATTTCTCTGTTTTTCACATGTGGTGTTTCTGCATACTTGGATCAGTGTTGCATGCATAATAAATAAATTATATATTATATATATATATATATATATATATATATATATATATATATATATATACATATATTTTATATATGTATATATATATACATATATTTTATATATGTATATATATACATATATTTTATATATGTATATATATACATATATTTTATATATGTATATATATACATATATTTTATATATATATATATATATATATATATATATATATATATATATATATATATATATATATATATATATATATATATATATATATATATATAGTATATATTATGCAAACTAATATTTGTGAATTACACAAGGCAAATGACTAGAACAGATTTGAACACTGTATGTTGCATGTTGGATTTAAAAATGCTGCAGAATTATAAAACCTGCCTCAAAAGCAATTCATCTTTAATTTTGCTGAACTAAGATAGTTAATGATGTGGATGCAAACAAGTGTTGAAGTAGTTGCCCTGGTGTATTACTTGCCTACAACTGTGTGCTCTATTGCTGTGCCAGCACTACTAGTACCGAGGTGTGTAACTTGACTCTCTGATACATCTTACATGCCACCTGGCTTAGGCTGTGTTGTATCATATGCTCGAATCACCTCCGATTGACCCATTACTCCATGCTCCTCTTGAGAAAATGCATATCCATCTGTTGAGAAAGTGGGTATTATTATTATACAAGATGCATGTAATAAATGCTAATTATATCGCTGTACAGTACAGAGAAGCCTCGATTAACAAATTTAATCTGTTCCGGCACCAAGCTCATCATGTGAAACGCTTGTCTTTCGAATTTCCCCATTTAAAATAATGGAAATAAAATTAATCCGTTCCACCACGAAAAACATCAATATATTTGATTTTTTAAAATAATGAAACAGCCTATCTGACATACACTAAACGAACCTTTATGACTTTTTTTTTTTTCATTTTTTTTTAGAAAATGGAGCAGCCTACCTAACATACACTGAATGAACCTTCCTAGCACCACATGGTTTTCTCGTTAATGGAGCAGAAGCTCGTCCATCGAGACAAATTTTCGGCGAGTGGCTCGCTCGTTACTCAAAATGCTCGTAGATGGAGCCGCTTGTCACTCGAGGTTCCACTGTACTTGTTACAACAAAACTATATTGACCTTTACTTGGGTCAATATGAGGTCCTGTATGATCAAATTTTATCCTCATGAAAATTATCAAAATTTACATACACACACACAAAGAAACATACACTCATATATGAAATATAAAATACCTGTATCCTATAAGTACTGTATGTACATCAATGAAGAACTATTAAAGAAATTATTTACAAAACATATCAGTAGTAAACTGGAGTATGCCAGCTGTGGAATGGTGCCAACACCTAAAGAAATATATTAACAAAGCAGAAAATGTCCAAAGACATGCAACAAAATGGAACCCAGAGCAAAGAAATATAATCTATATAAAGAGTAAATGAAGAACAGCCTTTTAGGGTATATACGAGTAGCTCATTTCTCAATAAGACTCTTGGTTGCTTCCTTAGGCAATGCCCTGCTGTTCCTATATACAGGACTGTATAGTCAGGAAAGAGTGACATTACACATTGGTGTAACAGTGATATTTGCAAACTTCCCACATAAGGAGTGGGACTAGAATAAGAGGTCACACACAGATTGAGACCAGAGCAGGGGAACACACAAGGAGTAGGTCCAGAATGAGGTGTCACACAAGAAAATGAGAGGAGCACCCAAGGAATTTGACCAAGATGATTGTACAAGAATGCACAAGTGCGGTAAGAATGAGAGGATACAAATGGGGGGATGGGACCAGGACGAGGGAAGACAAGTGATCAAACTAGAAAGAGAGGATACACATCGCGTTGAACCCAAACAAGGGAACAAACAGGATCATATCAGGACAAGGGAGGAAAACAAGGAGTGGGACCAGGGTGGGATATCACTTATGGGGCTGGGCTAGATATACCAGGACACAGTGTATGTTGGACAAAGACTAAAGGACACACCATTGTTGGACCGGGACTAGGTGACACACCATTGGTTGGACCACGAACAGGGAACATATCATTGGTCAGACTAGGATTAGGGAACATGCCACTGGTGGAATCAGGACTAGGGAAATATGCCATTGGTTAGACCAGCACTAAGGGACATGCTATTGGTCAGACCAGGTCTAGAGGTATTTGGACACCATTGGTCAGACAATGGTGAAAATGGGGACTAGGGGGAAAATGCCATTGGTCAAACAAAAACTGGGGGAACATGCCATTGGTCAGACAAAGACTAGGGGGGGGGGGGACATGCCATTGGTCAGACCAAGACTAGAGGGACATGCCATTGGTCAGACCAGGATTAGGAATTACACATGGAAACTTAATACCCAAGTGAGCTAGATATACAAGGAAGAATTTCTTCAGTGTGGAGGTCAAGAATAATTGGAATGCACTACAGTAGAAGAGGCTAAGCCCATACAAGAACTGAAAACATAGCTACGATGAAACCTTTAAGGTCGTGGAGTGACCACTCCAATCCATTACTGATTAAGAGGTGGGGGCCCCAGAGATTGTGGTAATCACCCCCCACACAAAATAACCTGAGTATACATACACATACCTGATTTACCCAGTACATGCATACAACAGCTATGTAGATGGTACATGAGCACACACAGACATATGTACACACACACACTCAAATATATAAATGTACATATTAATACAGATCCACAAATGTTATGTAATTACAAACATACATAGACTGATAAAATGCTTTTTAAACCTGTAAAACCAAAAAATTCAAATATAAAGTAGAAAATTGAATTTATCCTCCTCATTTTTTTATACCTGAGCCTAGTAAGTTTTTAAGTGAATATATACACAACCAGAAGTGTCAAAACATTATTATTTCAAGTTCCCCACTACGATGGCAATTTTGGCAAAAAGATCTAAAATGACAAATTTGAATAGATGATATACACATGAAAAGAACAGAGGCTGTAACATTACACATAGAAATCTCGGACGTAGGTTAGAAACCCTCGTCACGGCCCTTGTGGATTTGTTCAGAAGCTGCAACATTTCACTGCATAATGTAAACCTTAGCACAGCAGTGAAGTTTTAACCATTGAGGTACCTTATTACCTAACACAACTGTGATGAGTGACATGAATATGATGGTCTCCACTTAACTAGACATACCTGGGACCCAAAGGGCACAAGGCGACTCAAGGAGAAAAGACCTTAACACAGCCACGAAGGTGAATGACTGAGGAATTGCACCGATTTTCAGCTCATTGCCACATTCAAACTTAAGGGAAGAACCTAAAAGTGGTATATCCAACACTTAACACGAAAACCTCTAGCCCAGTCATTGAATGTCAAGTGAAATGGGACATGCTAATACTTATCCTGGAAGTCCAGAGCAAATGGAATAAAAACAAAACAAAGGCTTCTCATGGACCTACTGTTGCATAGATTACCAGCCCAACATAGTTGAAAGATGAGTAGCTCTTATGATCCCAGCAGAATGATGTCCCCCTTGACTGCTCCCTGTGAGTAAGGTGGATGGTCCAGATCATCAGACCACTGATGACCTGGACCATCATCGGGTGACAGTTGAGCACATCATAATTAGCATTGCCTGCCCATGGATATGATTGTATGCCTCAGAATTGATTGATTTCTTCATGTAGTACAGTACTGTAGTTTGGTTTGTATTACTTAATTTGTCTTTTTTTTTTTAATGATATTTTGTGGGTGATTTCTGATCCCAGCTTTTCCTGTAGAAAAAGCCAGATTTTGGTCCTGGCTCTTGGTAGGTTAGCCAGGAGAAATGAGTCTCAAGAGACCTGATGTACTTCACAAAACTTGGCTACACTAGAGTACAATATACGAGGAGCTACTGTGGGTCTCCCAGAAAAAATATGCCTTTTTCAACTGTGCATAATGGTCAGAAAAGATATGTGAATATATTTATATCTGTTAGTAAGAATCTGTTATTACACTTAATTATATAATATTTATCATTAATATCATAGCGCAGTGGTCTAAGTTGCCAGCTCACAACTGAGGGTCCTGAATTCAATTATCTTGTAGGACAGTGATGGTTAGGAAGTTTTGTTTGACTCGATGTTTCTGTTCACCTAGCAGTAAATAGCTACCAGGGAGTTTGACATTTGTTGTGGGTTGCATCCTGGTAATGGTCAGTGGTTGGCCAAGGGGGACCAAAATAAACTGAAGTACACGCTCCCTGTTCCCTACAACGGGAAGCCAAGAGTAAGTCACTTATTTTGTTCCTGACTTTACATTACAATTGCAGCTCAAGACTGTCAATTACCTACAAACTACTGTATTATCATATCTGAAGTACCAGTAGACAATCAAATTCAAAGTTATGAAACAGAAATTACCTTTTTATATACATATAATAAGCTTGCAGAAAAGAGGAATGTAGTTAACTTGCATACATAGTTGTATGATAAAAGTCTATATAAACACTTCCAGGTGCTATATAGCAAACATGTAAACATTGCAGATTCATTCTACATAGCACATCTGTTATACTTTGTGTACATGTACAATAATGTGCATAGTGCAATAAGCTATATCATATTACGTGTTAACAATGAGATGAGATCTTGCACTTGAATATGAGCTGCATCTTATTTACATTTGTTATTATTCTCCATGATAACTGTGACAGGCTTCTTGCTGATAAACATATAGAATAGGAAGTAAGTCCTCAGTAAAATGAGCAGTCAATACTTTAGTTAGGTGAGAATAAGATATTAAACAGTGTGCTATGTGATGGCAAACCTTGTGATTCTATGAGACCCTGGATGATGCCAAGAACAAAACAATAACTTCACGCATAAACAATTGATGCATTATTATTTATAATACATATTTATAACCAAACTCTAAAATAACACGTTTCCTGACTGATAACTCATAATACGTCCGTATATCAATATACTGTACTCAAGTCTGGGCGAGGACGCACGCCAAATCCAAAATTAAAATATTCGTTAAAAATCCATTTTTCTTTATCATTATGGGACTAATTCGCCTTTTGATTGTAAACAATTTGTTACCAGAATGAATGACGTAGCATGAAAATTGAGGTGACAAAACTGGAAAGAGTATAAATATTTGTGTGAGGGTTGTGGGTGCGAGCTCACGGGTAAAGCTCAGCCTAAATTGGGATGTGCTGCATGTGGCGCTGGACCGTTTGACCTTATTGTATATCTTATATGTATATCTATATCTTATTGTATTATTGTATATTGTATATTGTATATATATATAGTTTTGACCTTATACTGTATATCCCTTTCGAGCATTCTATTGCGAACAATTTGATACCAAAATGAACAACGTAGCAAGAAAATTGAGGTAAGAGCACTGAAAAAGAGCATAAAACATTTGAATGCGGGTGTACGTTCATGGACGTAACACTTGGCTGATTTTGGAGTTTAGTGCTGGTGGCTTGCTGAACCATTTGATCTTACTGTATATGCATATATCCCTTTAGGGAATTCAAGTCCACACAGCAAATGGGGCTTCTAAACACATGCACATAAAGCAAATACTAAATAATGAAACGATATACAAGCAAATGGGCCTCCCTGCAGGACAGAGTTCAAACTATGG